CTATCTCGAACAGTTCAGTTGCTGATTGAACATCTGACGTTCTGACTTACAAGGGAGGTGTCGGACATCTGTAGATGGGTCCTGTCTGCAGCCTACAGTAAGGGTAGGATTTTTGCCCTGTCAAGCGTGAGGCGGGGAGGAGGTGCGGCGTGTGGAGCGTGGATGCAGGTGGGTCTAACAGTGCAAGCGTGAATCGGAAGGCCAGTGACGGGCCCCCTGACGGCCGCGGGCAGCGGCCGGTTTTAAAGGCAGCACAGAGGCCCGGGGGGCAATTGCCACCCTGCCCAGTCCGCCCCTGGGATGGAGGCAATTTACAAAGAAAGTGTCATGAAGCCAGAACCAGGGCTCTGGCGCAAGTGTCTGTGCATGCACATTTGCCTGGTTTTGCTCATAAAGCTTTGCCAGGACGTGAGCCATTGCGCAGATATGTGCGTTTCCTCGCCACATGTGCATGGACGTGCGCCTGTGCATAATTCGAACTCTGGCACCTTTGGGGCTATATAGGCTGTGACATCCAGACCTCCGATGCTGTATGATTGTGAGTTATACTTGTGTTTCTGAGTTCCTGTGTTCTGATTGATTACCTGTTACCGACCTGTCTTGCCTCAGCCTCCTGCTGCTCTCCTGTTTTACTGTAACCCCGGCTTGTTCTTTGACCACCGCTCCAGCCTGACGCCCTGTACTGCACTGTCCGCACATTACCGACTTTGTCCCTGCCTGTTGCCTGGTACCACGCTGCCTGCCTGTTAAGGACTCAGCTTGTTACGACCACGGGTTTCCTGGAACCCAGCTCTCCATTGTATCTCTTCTGTGCAAGCACCCTGCTCAAGAATTGTCAGCATCACAGAGACTGCTTACCCAGCTGTGGTATCTTTGTCCAGCACTCGTGCCCCTCTGTGACCCTGTGCATCTGTTCCACCATCCAGGCACTCTGGGGCTTGAGCTGCAAGGGAGGCCACTCTTGTCAACTCAGACTCCACCAAGGTAAGTGACAGAAAGCCAAAGGTGGGACTTAGATCTTTTACTATTTAGCTACACCCTAAAGTCATTAATACTATTTGTGCCAAAGTTATCAGTCAAGCACATTTGTATGGGTGGAGAGAAGGATCTAGGAAGCATGCCTTTTCTTCTGCTAGTTCCTTCTCTTGGATTCAGTTAAAGCTA